AACCCCAGCACTTTGGGAGGCCGAGGCGGGTGGATCACGAGGTCAAGAGATCGAGACCATCCTGGCCAACATGGTGAAACCCCGTCTCTACTAAAAATACAAAGACATTAGCCGGGTGTGGTGGTGTGCGCCTGTAATCCCAGCTTCTCGGGAGGCTGAGGCGGAAGAATCGCGTGAACCCAGGAGGCGGAGGTTGCAGTGAGCCGAGATTGTGCCACTGCACTCCAGCCTGGTGACAGAGCGAGACTCCGTCTCAAAAAAAAAAAATGACCCAGGCGTGGCGGCCTACATTTATAATCCCAGCATTTTGGGAGGCAGGAATATCCCTTGCAGTTAGGATTTCAAGACCAGCCTGGCCAACACAGTGAGACCCCATCTCTACAAAAACTCAGAAAAGGCAGGGCAGGGTGGCTCACGCCTGTAATCCCAGCACTTTGGGAGGCCAAGGCGGGCGGATTGCCTGAGTTTATGAGTTCCAGACCAGCCTGGGCAACATGATGAAACCCTGTCTCTACTAAAATACAAAAAATTAGCCGGGCATGGGTGGAGAAGTACGCCGGTAGTCCCAGCTACACGGGAGGCTGAGGCAGGAGAATTGCAAGAACCCGGGAGGCGGAGGTTGCAGTGAGCTGAGATTGTGCCACTGCGTTCCAGCCTGGGCAATGGAGCAAGACCCCATCTTGTCTTCTCGGAAGAGACCATGTGTCATGCTTGAGCTAACGGGTAAAGACCAGGGGTGTGCCCTTCCCCAGCTCATTGCCTACGGTTCCCCGTTCAGGTACCCGAGACGTCCCCAATCCTGTGCTGTGACATCTCGTCCAACAACCGCCTCATTGTCACCGGCTTCAGGGAGCACGCCTCCGTGTACCAGATGACCTACTGAGGGGCCTTCGCGGCCGTCCCCCACCTTTTTGTTCCCCCAACCGGTGGTCGTGGTGGAGGGAGGTGGGGAAGGGTCTTCTACCGTGTTGAAAACACCCTCTGTGGTGAGCAGATTGCTGTCACGCGTAATAAAGCATCCAGGAAAAGCAGAGTGGACACGTCCTGTCCTCTGAAGGGGAAGGGGCTTCCCCATCCCGTCCCTGCTCATCTCGTGGAAATCTGGAAGGACTTTATCCAGCCTGGTGGCTCTTAGCCGCCCCCCCCTTTTTTTTTTTTTTTTTGCAGGATCTGTCACGCAGGCTGGAGTGGCTTCACCCCGACTGCGTCCTCTCCATCCTCCTGCCTCAGCCTCCTGAGGAGCCGAGATGACAGACGGGCACACTCCACCCGGCTGATCTAATCTTAGATGCTGGGCACGGTGGCTCACACCTGTAATCCCAGCACTTTGGGAGGGTGAGGCCGACAGATCATTTGAGTTCGGGTGTTAGAGACCAGCCTGGGCAATACGGTGAAACCCCGTGTGTACTAAAAACACAACAATCCAGCTGGGTATGGTGGCGCACACCTGTAGGCCCAGGAGCTCAGGAAGCTGAGGCAGGAGAATCGCTTGAACCCAGGAGCCAGAGGTTGCGGTGAGCGGAGATCATGCTACAGCACTGCAGCCTGGGCGATGGAGGCTACATCTCAAATTAATAGAATAACATTTTATGTAGAGACAGGGTCTTGTGTTGCCCCGGCTGGTCTCAAACTCATGATTTTAAGGGATCCTTGCACCTGAGCCTCCCAAAGTGCTGAGATCACACGTGAGAGACACTGTCCGGTCCTCTGAGCTGCCTGCAGCTTCTGGGATCTAATAATCCTGGGGTAGTGGTCTTAAGTCTCAGTGATGCTCCAAACCCAGGGCTCATGAGAAACATTCTTTGCAGGCTGGGTGTGGTGGCTCACACCTGTAACCCCAGCACTTAGGGAGGCTGAGGTGGGTGGATCACGAGGTCAGGAGATTGAGACCATTCTGACCAGCATGGTGAAACCCCGCCTCTATTAAAAACACAAAAATTAGCCTGGCATGGGTGTCGGTGCCTGTAATGCCAGCTACTCAGGAGGCTGAGGCAGGAGAATCTCGAACCCAGTAGGTGGAGGTTGCGGTAAGTCAAGATCACACCACTGCACTCCCTGTACGCAGCTCGACTCAGCCTCAAAAACAAAAAACAAAAAACAAAAATGCTTTGCAGGCCGGGCACCATGGCTCATGCCTGTGAGCTAGGAGTCTAGTCACGGCCACAGACTCCCCAACTTGGGGAGTAGATCGACATTTCTGCCGCCCGGAGCAGCTCCAATCCCGTGCGATGTATCAGGTGTGATCCCAGGAACCATGTGAGTGGTCCTTCCCCAGACACATCCCATTTAATCAGTGGGTCTCCCATGGGTGACTGCCCCCAAGGAATCCTAGGTGATGGCTGGGGGCATTTCCAGTTGGCACGACTTGCGGGGTGCCCCTGGCCTGGAGTGGGTGGGGACAGGAACACTGCTGTCCACAGTGCTAAGGCAGACATGAATTTCCAGTGGCTTCACTGGCCAGCCTTCTTCCCACACTTATTAGGGCTCTGGAAACGCCATTTGCCCACTCCGCCTTTTCCAAGCTAGGAAGGGCCCCAATGTCAACGGGTTCCTTAATTCAGGTAATGATCCCTTTCCTGTGGTATCTCCAGAAATGTCCGCTGGGGCAGGCCTTCTGTTGCCAACAGGAACCCTCCCATCTCCTTCTAGAACGTTCCCAGTGGCATCTGTGCTCCACCCAAATTATGCTACCTTAAACTTTTTTTTTTTTTTTTTTTCTTTGAGACGGAGTTTCGCTCTTGTTACCCAGGCTGGAGTGCAATGGCGCGATCTTGGCTCACCGCAACCTCCGCCTCCTGGGTTCAGGCAATTCTCCTGCCTCAGCCTCCTGAGTAGCTGGGATTACAGGCACGCACCACCATGCCCAGCTAATTTTTTGTATTTTCAGTAGAGACGGGGTTTCACCATGTTGACCAGGATGGTCTCGATCTCTTGACCTCGTGATCCACCCGCCTCGGCCTCCCAAAGTGCTGGGATTACAGGCTTGAGCCGCCGCGCCCGGCCCTTTTTTTTTAGTTGTTTTTAAAGAGATGGGATTTCACTATATTGCGCAGGCTGGTCTCGACCTCCTGGGCTTAAGCAATCCTCCTGCCTCGGCCTCCCAAAGTGCTCGGATGACAGCCGTGAGCCCCGGCACCGGCGCTAACCCACGCTGTACGTGGGAACCCGCATGAGATTCAGAACACAGGTCCGACTACCCCCACCCTCCCCGATCCCCACTGAAGCCTCATCTGCAGGCCTCACTTTGCGGAACCCCACTGTCTTTGGAGTGACCCCCAGGCCAAGCACCCCTTTGCCTCTGAGACATCAAACCTGCCATTCCCTTCTCCCAGGCAGTCTTCCCTTGGTACTCCCAGGGGCCTTTCCTCATGCTTCAGTGCTCAGCCCTTCACCATGAGCCGGGCTAGCAGAAAGTGAGTCCACAGGCAGTGTGGCTACACTGAATAGCTGTGTGCTCTGCCCTTTTCTCCCCTGCCCCTTGTACTTAGGCAGAATCTTGGGTTTTTCTTTTAGGTTGAAGTCTCACTCTTGTCCCCCAGGCTGGAGTGCAATGGTGCCATCTCAGCTCACCACAACCTCCACCTCCATGGTTCAAGCCATTCTCCTGCCTCAGACTCCTGAGTAGCTGTGATTTCAGGCACCTGCCACCATGTACAGCTTAGTCGAGACCGGGTTTCACCTTGTTGGCCAGGCTGGTCTCAAACTCCTGACCTCAGGTGGTCCACTCACCTCAGCCTCCCGAAGTGCTGGGATTCCAGGTGTGAGCCACCACGGCCAGCCCGGGATAATTTTTTTAAGAGACAGTCTTCGGACTGGACACGGTGACTCTCACCTGTAATCCCAGCACTCCAGGAGGCCAAGGAGGATGGATCACCTGAGGTCAGTTGATCAAGAGAAGCCTGGTCAAAATGGTGAAACCCCATCTCTACTAAAAATACATAAACTACCCAGGCGTGGTGGTGTGTGCCTGTAATCCCGGCTACTGGGGCGGCTGAGACAGGAGAATCGCTGGGACCCAGGAGGCTTGCAGATTGCAGTGAGCTGAGATTGCACCGCTGCACTTCAGCCTGGGCAAGAGCAAGACCCTGTCTTTAAAAAATATATATCAGCTAGGTAGAATGGCTCCTGCCTGTAAACCCAGCACTTTGGGAGGCCAATGTGGGCGGATCACTTGAGTCCAGGAGTCTGAGACCAGCCTGGGCAACAGGGTGAGACCCCATCTCTACAAAAAATAAGTTAATCAGGAACGGGGGTGGTGTCTTTCTATAGTCCTTGTTAGTTGGGAGGCTGAGGAGGAAGGACTGCTGGAGCTCAGGAGGTAGAGGGGAGCAATTCTTGCGCCACGGCACTCCAGGCCCGGCAACAGAGCGAGACCCTGTCTTAAAAAAATTCCTGGCCAGGTACAGTGGCTCACACCTGTAATCCCAGCTCTTTGGGGAGGTCGAGGGGGGCAGATCACTTGAGGTCGGGAATTTGAGACCAGCCTGGCCAACATGCTGAAACCCCATCTCTGTTCAAAAATAAGAAAATTAGCTGGGTGTGGTAGTATTCTTAAATCCCAGCTTCTGGAGAGGCTGAGGCAGGAGAATCACTAGAACCCAGGAGGCAGAGATTGAGTGAGGTGAGATGACACCGTTGCATTCCAGCCTGGGCAATGGAGTGAGACTCCATCTCAAAAAAAAAAATAATAAATCACCTGGAGGCCTGAGTGACGATCTGGAGTAGAGCCCTGTACGCTGTGGGTATGAGCCACAAATCAATGTGCTAAACCCTGAGCCACGAGGGCTGCTTGTCACACACCAGCATCTCAACCACCCTGCCCAACCCAACTTGTCTCGAAGGAGAGGACTTTCACACGGCACGCAGGCACCTCTGAATATGCTGCGGAATGAATTCGGGAACCGGCCTCCTCCCAGCACCAGTGGCCATGGGAAGCAATGATCCCTAGTTCCCCAACACAAGGGAGAAATGCGGATGTGATAAATACATTTATTTCCTGCAAGGTCCCCTGCCCAGCGGCCCCCACATGCAGCAGGGGTAAACCCACTGGCCAGAAAGCAGATGATACTAAGGGCTCACAGGCAGGGCGGGGAGACGCCTCCTGGGTGCCTGACCTGGAGCTGCTCCCCTAGGAGTCTGGACTTGGGGTTGCAGGAACATGGGGGGGTCTCAGTAGACCACCTCGTATACGGTGGCCTTCTTGTCCCCCGAGCCTGTCACGATGTATTTGTTATTCCTGGAGATGTCACAGCTCAGGACGGAGGATGATTCCTTAGACTGCCAAGGGAAGGGGGTAAGGGAAAAGGCAGGGTGAGGCACAGTCCCCCGGATGCGGGTGCGGGCAACGTGGGGGCGGAGTCAGGAAGGGGAGAGCAGGACTCGGCTACTGAGTGACTCATTTTCTTTTTTTTTTTTTTTNGTTTTGATCTCTCTCCCAGGCTTCAGGAGTGTAGTAGCGGGATGTCAGCTCACTGCAGCCTCCGCCACCCATGTTCAAGGGATCCTCCTGCCTCAGCCTCCTGAGTAGCTGGGACTGCAGGTGGGTGCCATCATGCCTGGCTAATTTATTTCATTATTACTATTTTTTTGAGACAAGAGTCTTGCTCTGTGGCCCAGACTATAATGCAGTGGCACGATCTCGGCTCACACCATCCTCCACTGCCTGGGTCCAAGCGATTCCCCTGCCTCAACCTCCTGAGTAGCTGGGACTACAGACACGCCACCATCCCCAGCTAATTTTTTTTGTATTTTAGCAGAGATGGAGTTTCACCATGTTGGCAAGGATGGTCTTGATCTCCTGACCTGGTGATCCACCCGCCTTGGCCTCCTGAAGTGCTGGGATTACAGCCATAAGCCACCGTACCTGGCCAATTTTTTTTTTTATTTTTAGTAGAGACGGGGTTTTGCCTTGTTGGTCAGGCTGGTCTCAAACTCTTGACGTCAGGTGACCCACCCGCCTCAGCCTCTCAAAGCGCTGAGACAATAGGTGTGTGCCACCATGTCATTCCTTTTCTAGACACAGGTGCTTTGGAGCTAAGTCCCCTGGGCAGAGCAGAGCCTCCACGCCCTCGATACCAAGAGAGGGGACTGAAGAACTGCTCTTTCTGAGAAGCTCAGAGCGGGTGTGCACCAGGCGTGATGTCACACAGCAGAGCAGAGGGGCAAGGCAGTGGCCTAGACCAGGGTTCTGCAAACTTGACAAAGCGCTGGATGAGTAACTATTTCAGGCTTTGCCCAAAGTCTATGTTACATATGCTGGGATTTTTTTCTTACAACCCTTTAAACCACGCTTGAGGTTGGGAGTTCGAGACCAGCCTAGCCAACGTGGTGAAACCCCGTCTCTACTAAAAATAACAAAAATTAGCTGGGCATGGTGACGCGCGCCTGTAGTCCCAGCTACTCAAGATGCTGAGGCAGGAGAATTGCTTGAACCCGGGAGGCGGAGGTTGCAGTGAGCCGAGATCACACCACTATAATCCAGCCTGGAGACAGAGCAAGACTTGTTGTAAAAAAAAAAAAAGAAAGAAAAAAAAAGAAAATAGCCAGGCATTGCTGGGTGCAGTGGTGGCTCATGCCTGTAATCTCAGCACTTTGGGAGGCTGAGGTGGTGGATCACCTGAGGTCAGGAGTTCGAGACCAGCCTGGCCAACATGGTGAAACCCCATCTCTACTAAAAATACAAAAAAAATTAGCTGGGCGTGGTGGTGGGCACTTGTAATCCCAGCTACTCTGGAGGCTGAGGCAGGGAGAATTGCTTGAACAAAGGAGGCAGAGGTGGCAGTGAGCCAAGATCAGGCCAGTGCACTCGGGCCTGGGTGACAAAGCTAGACTGTCTCAAAAAAAAAAAAAAAACCAATAGGCTACAGGTTGATGAGGCCCTCGGGCTGAAATTCCAACCTCTGCTTTAGTACCTGGGCAGCGGGGAGGCTTCAGGACCCTGAGGAGGGTCAGGGTGGCTGGCGGGTGGGCCCAGGGGATGGGGACAGGGGCAATTTCTTTGTCTGACCCTGGCATTCCTGAGCACATGGCCCTGCCAGGGTGGGGGCTCCAGCCCACTGAGTACCTGGAAAATGCTGGCCCCGTACGGCGTCCTCCAGGCATTGAGCAGGTTGTCCTTCCCTGTGCTCACAAACCACCGTCCTGGGGAGGTAGAGCAGTGCAGTTCAAAGAGGGGGGACTGTAGAGAGTCCAGGGCTGCTGGGAGAGGCGGGGCAGGCTGGGTCTGGCCTCTCCCTCTTCCTTATTGCCCCCTCCCCATCGAAAGGGTCTTGGGCAGGCGCAGAGGCTCATGCTGGTAATCCCAGCACTTTGGGAAGCTGAGGTGAGCAGATCACCTGAGGTCAAGAGTTTGAGATCAACCTGACGAACACGGAGAAACCCCATCTCTTCTAAAAATACAAACATCAGCTGGGCATGGTGGCAAGTGCCTGTAATCCCAGCCACTCAGGAGGCTGAGGCAGGAGAATCGCTTGAAGCCTGGAGGCGGAGGTTGCGGTGAGCTGAGATTGCGCCATTGCACTCCAGCCTGGGCAACAAGAGCAAGATACC